GTTGCGGAAGATGCGATGAGGCAGATTCCTCCGGAAACAAATAGTGGTGAGTGGTCAAGAGATCTGCTACTTCCGGGATCGTAAGAGGTGCCCTCTTGGTAGTGAGAGAGGCGATGAGACCCCGGTACGCCGGTCGGAGACCTCCAAAAACGTGTAAATTCTGTTCATCCAGCTCGATCGGCCGTCCTGCCTGGGCAAGTTGTTCGACCAGCACTTGTGCCCTGCCCAGATACTCTGCCGGAGTGGAGTCGCCTTGCCGGAGACCTTGTAGTTGGGACAGAAGGCTCAGCGATCGCGCCCGTGACGCAGAACCAAGAGCAGTTTCGACGGAAGTCCATACCGATCGGGATGTGTTGTGACCAACAGCGAGGTAGAGAACCTCTTCTGCCATGGACGACATGAGCATACTCAATATAGATTGGTCCTGTTGGACCCAAATGGCATGGAGAGGATTGATGGCTGGTGTGGTCGACGTGCCGGCGAGCGTTTCAGGCGGACATGGGAGAGTACCGTCCACGTAACCGTACAGATTCTGGCCACGTAGGAACTGCACGAGTTGTGCCCTCCAGAAAAGGTAGTTGGTGGCAGTGAGTTTTAGGGAGATATAGTGGTGGGCTTGGTGTAATATATTCGGTTGTCGATGATCGGAGCTGACGCCAGCAGCCGCATCAGTAGAACCGCCGGTGGAGTCGGCAATGGGAGATGGGTTTTCATCGGTGGCCATAGGATCGACTAGGCTAAACTGATACCAAATTGGTGAAAGAGTATTTCTGTTATTCAACTCTAGAATAATACACTGCTATTTATACAATAGAAACTAGCTAGAAGATAGGAAACAGCTACACAATTAACTCTAACTACAACATTTTATTCTAACAAACTGATATGACTAATACAGTGAAATGAGAAGATCTGGAATCACACCAGATCATGTAAAATGGAGTAAGCAATTAACTCTGTTTGTGCACCATATGATCTTTCAACTGTTCTTTAATTTCATTATATATGAGATAGTTGTTGGTATGTTATTTGTTAAGTTACTCCCATTTGCTGGCTTGTATATTTGACAAGTATTCACTGCTTTTGCCTCTGCCACAATTAGATTTTAGATCTCTGGGATTCTTCCCACTATGAATGTGCGTATGAGTGCTTTGATCGGAAGAAGAAGCCAGAGGAGATAGGGAGCTGCGTGGAGTACTGCAGCGTCCCTATTGTCAATGCCCAGAATGTAGTTCAGAATGTTTTGTTTCGTGATTATTATTTTCCACTTATCGGGCTCCATGTGCTGGTTAAGATAGAATACAATTACATGCACCTTTTGCTGTTTGCTGCCTATTTGAAGAGATTGGATAATGGGTTAATATATGAGTGTAACTTACTAACTTGTGTGACTAGTAGAAGTTAAAAAAGATTAAAAAATTTGCAATTTTCCTGTTATTTTATATCTGGAAGTTCATTTCTTACTTTTGGTGCCCTTTGCTTTATTGTTGCACAAGTTAGGTGTTCCTTTCGAGTTGGTGCTAGTGGTGAATTAAAAGATTTGTCTTAAGAGGTTCATGTTTCAGAATTCCATTCCTTATGGGGCCTCTTTTGGGCTTTTCCCATCTGCTTCTTTATATATATTAGATCTGTATTTCATATCTTAGTTGGGTAGATAAAAGGAATACTTTATTTTCCTGGACATTTTGTGTATGGAGTATTTGATCTTATCTACTAAATCCCTATCATTTCATTTCCAAAGGCCTGTGTTTGTATATCTAACAACAGTGGCTAATTACTGAAGGTTTGAAGCTTGAAGCGCGTTTTGATAATCAAAGAAGTCTACGGCGTAAAACAAGACTAAAGTCCCACTCGCCATAAAAAGAGTGATGAAAAGTGGGCA